AATTTTTTATTGCGGCGAAATGTATAGAAAGTGCACTGATTTCTGAGTCTTCCACTACTGATATTACAACGTAGAATATTAAAGTAAAAACAGCGATAAAAAAATTCAAATTATTCTACTAGGGTGACAGTGAGAGGGTGCTGAAAATTTATTGCTCCACCCATCTCCCAAATACTGAATAAACATATATATATATATATATATATATATAGATAGATAGATAGATAGATAGATAGATAGATAGATGGCTGGTTGTTTTTGTTCAGCGTTATTTAATACCGAAATATTTTTTAGATAATAATGTTTTAGTAATACAAGATTTACTAATTAACCCTTGGCTGGGGGTGGAGCAGAGGCAGATTCATACCTTTGCATGTAAGGGAATATAACTGCAATTGGAACCCGGCTCTCCTGTTAACAAGCATACAAGGTATTCCCAAACAGTCACCTATCTATCTAGGTACTGACCAGGATCGACGTTGCTTAACTTCGGTGTTGTGGCCGTAAACATATATATATATATATATATATATATATATATATATATATATATATATGCACTTACACCAATTAAAAAGTGCTTATAAAAACAGAAAAATCGAGAAGTATAAGCAGTCAATTGCTGATATCCCCTGACGAGTGGACGGAGGATTTCCGGAGCGTCCATCCACAAAATTCTGTAAACGGGCTACTGAAGGTAACATGATTTCGCTAAGTGACAAAAGTTTTACTCCTATATATATATATATATATATATATATATATATATATATATATATATATATCTTTCTCCTGACACTGAAAAAAATCGTTTGATGTCGGGTAAAAACTTGTAAAGGAACCTGCCGAAAGTGTGTGTAATTTTCCCCGTACTTTCGACCACGGTCATTTTCAAGGCAAAAGAAAAAAGAAAAACGTCGATTGGTAGCCAATGGAGCGCTTATGTTGTTAACGATGCGGAGTTTGAAAAGCACGTGACTTAACACGCTCAGGTGGTGGAAGGGATTATAGGCATCACGTGACTCAAATGACTTTAAAATTCAAGAGCATTTTCGAACTTGCGCCCCGACAGTAAAACAAAGTTTAACCATGGTGTTTTCTTTTCTTTTTTTTTCTGTTTTTTTTTTTTTTTGTCTTTTGATATTAACAGCCTCCAGAATTTTTAATCGTTTTCTTTTCTTTTTATATTTATTTATTTATTGTCAGGGACTGGATTGTCAGAGTTCTTTTGTACTGATGACCTTAATCTGCTGGTAATTAGAAGGGGTGCCATAGATTTGTGTTAAATGTTTGTTTATGTCATTTTCCTGGGAGAATGTTCTTAAATGACACACATGCGCACCCCCCTCCACATATATATATATATATATAATTCCATGAACATGCTGCACTTGTGACTTTGTCAGACCACATGATGACTGCAGTGTCAGACATGGTTTTGTGAAGAAATAATCGTTAGCAATAACCTAAGAAAGGCTATCAATTCCTCTCGATATCAACAGACTATGTTGATTTATTTCATCACGGTGTAGGAATACCAGATAAAAGTTCCACTACATTAGATATTTTCTCTCGTATTCACAACTTTCCTGTCAGTGTACATGAGCCCAGAAAAGACGCATTAGTTTAAGGACCTAAGATTTCAATTAATTGCTCTATATGTATTTTGTAAAAATTTACAAAATGTGTCAAAATGGACTATGATAATGTCAAGAGACTTGGTGATGGCTGAAAAGCCGAGACGAAGTGCTACATTTCTTTAGTCTGAAACGATCAGCGTTGCTGGTTGACTTGTTTCTTTTGTTTTTTGTTTTCTTTTTACGGTTTGCCAACCCTTTTCAGGATATTTAAAGCCAGAAAACATTTCTATGTTGTAAGAGCTTTTCTAAAGATAGTAATTATTTACTGATACTAATTAACCAATAACCGTGTTTTTCCTAAATTCGGGCCATCAGTGACTAAACCAGTTACCCCCCCCCGCCACCAGGTTTTTCGTATGAAGAGGGTGGCTAGAAACACAACAGGATAAAAAACAAAACAAGACCTTTCCAAAGGTAGATGGACGTACTGACGACAACTAGAACAAAATCTACTTGTCTAGAATACGTCCAACTAGGACGTTTTTTTGTTCGTTGGGAGTTTATATAAACAAGAGAGTATCACTGAAAAACAGTTAAAGGGAGCGTGCGGAGGAAAAAATGTAAACAAGGCGCGTATTTCAGAAAGAGGGACATTAATTAACAACATTTCATCAAATGCATACAAATTCGTCAGGAAGCTACAAATATAAGGCAATAAGTGAGTATCGTGCTCAGTAAAGGAGTAATCTAGCTAAACCCTGTTCTATAGGGTACTGACCTGTTAAATTTACTAGACTTAGTATGACACAGAGCCATAAGTATGGATTGAACTCACAAAATTTATAATTGTATAGGATATGGAATTGATAGCGATTGCTTTAATATTTAATTATCTATTTCTGCAAGCTATACAAACACACAGACACAGATACACACACACACACACACACACACACACACATATATATATATATATATATATATATATATATATATATATGTATTAGCGCAGCTTATATTTTATATATATATATATATATATATATATATATATATATATATATATATATGTGCAGCTTATATTTTATATAATAAAGAAACAATTTATACAAAGAAATAAATAGCAATGTTAATGTGCTTAATGGTGAAATCAATTCGCTAACAGAACTTAATGAGACATTAACTTACTATCAATTCCTTGAATAATTAGATTGTTATATTCGAGTTGTTTTCAGATATTGTCACATGTCAAATACTTTCGACAATTTCAAATTGTCATCTTCAGGGTGAAATTTTCCCATACATAGGCAAACACTAAGACGATATATATATATATATATATATATATATATATAGTTTTGATTACGCGTTTCGCCCTTCTAAGCTTTATAATATCCCAAAAACAAAAGGAATAAATGTGTGTATGTGTATTTGTGAGTATTTTCTTTTGCTAAATTTCTTAAAAACTTTGCCAAGATTCTCTATCCTATTATATATATATATATATATATATATATATATATATATATATATATAAGGTCAACATAAAATGGATTACGTAAGTTCTTTGTTAATTATTTTCTCATATAAATATTCGAGCTATTTCCTGGTTACCGAGTTTATAAGCAATTAATAGTTTTCATTGAATTGGCATTTTTCTTTTATTACTATAAACAAATATTTAAAAAAATGCAGCAATTAATCTCTACCGGTTTAGAGACTAAAAGTCTTAATTAAGTGAATGCTCCTCCCGAAAGGTATGGAGCCCGTATACCCTTTTTAATCTGGGAAACCTGTTTCAAACTAAACGTTCTTTACCATCAAGCTAAGGAAAATCCTCATAGCTTGAGAGAATACCCATAACTATCAACATGAAACTATCTTAGTATTGTTTTCGTACATATTATATATATATATATATATATATATATATATATATATATATATATATATATATATATATATATAATGATGTCTGTCGGCCTGACTATCTAAACTCTAACTAAATAAAAGTCAGTAGCGAACGTGTTATTTCTTTTAAACTGGTAAAAGCACATTCCAGCAAGCCGTGTTTCAATTGTTCAGTCATGAGAGATCTGATATCTAAACAAGGCACAATTGCTTTTTTTTTTAAATAAAAGTGAGGGGTATCTTTAAAAAAAGCGAGCTTTTTCGAAGCTTATAGCTGCTAATTTCATTTTCATACTAATAAAGTAAATAATATATATAGCTCTTGAAAATATATTTCAATTGAGCACTGTTGAGTGATAAGCTAATTCTATAAACAACAGCCATCAGCGTTAATGCAAAGCTCTTCAGTAAAATGAATTGGAGCACTCCGGCTGATTGGCATTTGTTTACATTCGTAAAAACAATACGCTAGATTTAGTTGTTTCTCTCTGTCGAATGAAGATAGCTCAGTGGTAGAAACTCTGACTGATCGGTTGGGTTTCGATCCGAGCTTGAGGTATTCGGATGTCTAATCGCACTGAGGAGCTGTGATACAGCGAAACAGTACAGTCTGCGAATATATATATATATATATATATATTGTATTTTTTTATTTATATTTATTAATTAACGGATTTTTATCTGCCCTTATTACTTTCAACTTTATATTTAATAGCTACACCTATTTGAATAGACTTCTCACTTTTCGTTTTAAAAACAGTCTCTTATAAGACTTTCGATTACACGCGCCGGTAAACACCAGTTTCACTGTTCCGATAGTGCGTCGACTCCAGTGGGAAGCATATTCTATACGACAGTAATTGGTAATGAAATAAAATTAATTTGCTAACCGTTACTCCACAGTGAGATGTCTTAGACAAAGTGTTCCTTATTTAAGAACCTGATACTGTCGAAGGTTCTTGTCTTCGTTAAAACAAAATGGCCGATTCTAATGCGAATTTATCAGCAAAATATTTTTTAGATATTTCTTAGGTTACGCCACTGAGAGGCAAATGTCCTACAACAGACACTGTAAAAGTTGCTTTTAATCCGGTAAGAACTGGTTACAAGGACAGTTTGTCAAATTAACGAGTGATGCCTGAAACTAACAAATCACTTAAAATACGGCGCGTTGGCCATTGCACTTCTGTGGGTGTCTTTTCAAGTGGAGTGCTTAATTAAAAAAAAAATTGACATACGTTTTTATTAAACTTGGTTGCTATTGCTATGGCGGATACAGTATACGCATTTCGTCGGCTAATATCGCTGGTGATATTTCCTTTTGACAAAGCTGTAGAAGACGGTTAAGACGACCTAAAACGGATCCGACGTTGGAGGGTGACATTATTTATTGGGGCCAAACTATTTAAGTGGGAAATAATTAATTGAGCTAATGTTTTGTTTGGATAGGTCAATAAATGTGTGATTATGAGTTTAGTTTATATAAGTTTAGAGTTTAGTTTATATAATTTATGATAGATAGATAGATAGATAGAGAAGTGACAGTGATAGATAGATAGATAGATAGATAGATAGATAGATAGATAGATAGATAGATAGATAGATAGATAGATATGACGTGACAGTAATAGATAGAAAGATAGATAGATAGATAGATAATGAAGCGACAGTGATAGATAGATAGATAGATAGATATAGAGAGAGCGAGAGAGAGAGAAAAAGAGCTATAAACAACGAGGCAATTACATGCCTTCGGTTTACAAGATAAAATGCAAAGAGAAACTTCTCCCTAACTAAGAATTTTTCTTTCTTTCTTTCTTTTTGCTTCTTTCTTTCTTTCTTTCTCTCTCGCTCTCTTTCTCCCCCCTCTCTCCCCCCTCTCACTCTCTCTCTCTCTCTCTTAGAGTTTTAGCTCTCCATTGTGCGTCCGCTCATGGCGGTAATGTTATAAACAAGACGAATCATGGCTACTCAATACGGCATGGTCGCTTGAGGCGACCTCTGGCGGCAGTCGGAAAAACCAGCTTCGAATTAATGTTCGTGGAGCCCGCATTCTGCGCATGCGCAGATACATGTGAGCAAATGTGCCACTGTCAGTATGCTGAGGTGCATTTCTCTAATAGACAGCAAGGAAAATACTAATGTCTATACATGTAGATTGAAATTGATTATACATTTGTACCCATATATATATATATATATATATATATATATATATATATATATATATATATATTTTCTTTATTTATACCTGTGTATTAATAATTTATCAGTTCAATGTGATATAAGTAAGGAAATATAGGTGTGTTAGTGTATGTAGGTTTGTGTGTGTGTACTATGAAATTTGCAATTTGCTTTGCAATGAATTAATAGTTCCAAAAAACCCTGATCTTGGAATTAGAATGCAAGATATAAATCTATGGATTGAACCCGATTTCTGATATTATTTCCATATAATTATGTGTGAATATATTTAAAATGTTTTTTGGGGGTTTTTTTTTTTGTATATTAATGTGTATATGTATGCGTACGTGTGTGTATGTATATATCAAATAAATTATTTTTATTGTTTATATTAGCTTGTTTTTAAATACGTGTAAAGACGTTTTCTGATAATTTATATCTCAGCCTTACGTGTATGTATATATATATATATCTATCTATATATATATATATATATATATATATATATATATATATATATATATATATATATATATGTATGTATGTATGTATGTATGTTATATATATATATTTATCTATATATATATAGCAATATGCTAGTAAAACACAGAACTTGTGTGAATAAATAAATAAATAAATACGTATTAATATGTATATATATATGTATACATATATGTCCCAATTATATATGAAGAACAAAAATTGTGATATTGAAAGGATCGGAAAGAAAAAAATCTAGACTTTGTACCTACCGTTTGTATTAGCTTAGTTTTATTTTATGTATATACCTGCGCTTGGTTTAATATTATTGTTACCTGGGTAATGTTTAGTTTGGTAATTATCGTCTTTTCATTCGTTTGCATTAGTTGACATGACTTTAAATATTTAAAACTAGTAACTAGTAACTTGTCAAGAAC